GTTTTTTGAAAAAACGCATTTTTTTAAAAGGGGAAAGTGTCTTCTTAATACAAAAAAAAATCCAGACGTTGAAACTAATTTAAAATAATTTAATGTCTAAGTTTTATATTTTAGAATGAAAAAAGAAATTTAAATTTTACTTTATTGCCATGGTAATTATGAAAATATTGAAAAAAGTAACTAAATATGATTTCTTACCCCGGCTAACTTTTCCGAATAATGGCATTTCATTTTATTATTTGAACTCTCATATTTCCGTGTTAATAATAGCTTGAAATTTGACCTGAAACTACAAAATTTTGAAAAATACGAGTTAGCATTTTAGTGAATAAATATTGCCATTTAATGAATGGGTGAACTTAAAACCTGTCGATAAATTTAAAGTAAGGAAAAGAAAATAAAGTCGAAAACTGAATAGCTTTTGAATAATATTAGGATTTTTTTTTCCATTTTTCCATCACCGCATTTTTTGTAAAGAATCCTCATTTGGATAAGGCATGAAAATACTTAAGTTAAAAGTAAGAATGTCACACCTTATAAACATCAAAAAATTTTGCGGACACCCATGGTTGGTTTCCACTAAATACTCTTTTCTTTCCAGCAGTTCTTGCTTTTTTATTGACCCTAATTTTTTTCTCGTAATTTAGAATAATTTTATTCCAAATTAATTTTTGCTTCTAAAATAAAAATTGATAATAAAATAAATATTCAATTTTCACTTATTTCATGGAGTACATTCCCCTTAAAGTTATTATTCTTTTCAGACAAGTGCGATTAAAGTTTTAATTAACACTAATGATAATTTGAAAATTGCATTGAAAATTGCCCCTGAAAACTTGCATTCAATAACTTTTTCAAACCTTTTAGAATAAGGTTTAATATATTTATGTTACGGCTGTCTATCTCTTAAAAAAGAATTTAACTTAACTAAAATTATATTACATATTTCCTTTAACAATACATTATGCAAATGCTTTCTTTAAATTATTTGGTTATTGTTTAAGGATTAAACATTTTTGCACATGAAATGCAAGGTTTACTTTTTTTTTTTAATATATATTAAAAATGGAACTTTTAAACCAGTTATTTCCAATAAAAAATGCAATACAAATTATTTTTGTAAACTTCATTGTTATAAAATAAATACTATTATAACTGTACTAAATGTAAATAACTACTAAATATAAATAAAGTAACTGTAAATAACTAATATAATACTGTACTTATATATTCATTTTTTTTTTTTAAGTACACGACCTAACAACATAAATTGAAAAGTACACGACCTAACAACCTAAATTAAAAAGTACACGACCTAACTTAAATTAAAGCTTAATTTTTTCAACATTTTTTACTTTTTTGACGATTTTTTTATTTTTCATTTTTAGATTTTTATTTAGCAATACAAAATATTTTCTTAGAAAACGCCCTTATGTCAATCACATTTTGCAAAAATCTTATCAATACTTACATAAATATATTAAATAATATCCATAATTATAATAATATGTAATAAATCATGCAAAATATGATTTGTCTAAAAAAAACAAGATTTTTAGACTTTTTTGTTGTTGCGGATTTCATAGGTCAAATACACGTTGTATTTTTTTACAAGCAAACCTAGAAAATGGGTTAGTACTAGAAATTTTTTTTATTTTAAGGGTACTTTTTGTAAATATAGTGCTAAAATTTTCTTAAAATTTTCTTAAATCTCAGATCATTAAAAGATCGAAAAATTAAATCGTTTCATACATCCATTACATCCAAATATGCCAAGCTTACTTTCTTCAGCAAACAAAGAAGCAGAAATACTAAAAAAAGGAGTCTCGATGTTTGATATCTTTAATAAGGAGTCTCAATGTTTGATATCTCAAATAAGGAGTCTCGATGTTAGATATCTCTAATAAAGTTATATTTAATAAAGTTGTCTGTTTTTTCCATGGCTGAATGATATTCTACATAAAATGTTTAAATTTTCTCAATATCAAAAGTCTTTATAAGATAAGTTTTCATTCGCCATTTTTTTTCATTTGCCATTATTCGATTGCAAATTAAATACTCATTTGGGTACAAATTAAATTTTCTCTATTGTAGATAAATAAAGCTTCGATTAATATTGACGTTTAGGTAATGCTAACTATCTTTTTACGTTTACACATTTCTTTTTTAATATATATATATATATATATATATATATATATATATATATATATATATATATATATATATATATATATATATATATATATATATATATATATATATATATATATATATATATATTTATATATATATATATATATATATATATATATATATATATATATATATATATATATATATATATTAAAAAAGAAATGTGTAAACGTAAAAAGATAGTTAGCATTACCTAAACGTCTATAAATTTCTCTATCATGTTATTTATATATTTTGGAACAACTTCTTTATTATTTAAAAAACATTATTTTAATATACAAAAAACTTAGTAAAAAAATAACAACTGTATATAGAGTAAACAAACCATATACATAATTATATATATATATATATATATATATATATATATATATATATATATATATATATATATATATATATTATTATTATTATTATTATTATGTAAAGAATAAATAACATTTGGATAATATTGAATGACCAGATCTAAAAAGGCTTAAAAACCTGCTGCTTAAGATTATTTGAACGTCACCGCCTTATATTTACGTAATAAAAAAAAAATCTACATTTGCCGACTAACTAGTCAAAAAGGGTCACATTTGCAGACTAAGGGTCAAGTTTGCCGACTAAAAGCCATTGATGGGGAGGGGTGTAATACCCCCACACACCCCTATCGCGGCGGCCTTGCATAAGAACGCCCACACATTCTGAATTAATTGCGTAACGTATGTTATTTAATTAACTTGGAACATGGTTGTACGAGCTCTTTCATTTTGATGTGAGATGTATAGCGTTTTGATATTACAAACAGCTGTGTAATTTGTTAAGTTTTAGATAATGTAAGTTTCTGATTATACTCGTCATACGACATTTATTTATGTGCAATTACAAATTCTAAAAATAAAAAAAAGTGCTCCTAAAATTTTTTTTATAATTTTGTTTACAAAAAAACCTATAAATAGAATCTCGATTAGAGTCTGGGAGTGAGTAAATCTGATTTTTAGAAATAGTCAAAACACATTGCCCATCCATTTATCATATAATAATTACAATAGTAGGAAAAAGTGAATACATGCTAACAGTCATACAGTTCATTTATGTGACTTCTCTGCCGCTAGAGTTAATCTGATTATCTTCAATAACTTTATCATAACCATAAATAAATATAAAATCCCGTAAGTTAAGGTCGTAAATCACGTTTTTTTATTCTTTTTGTTATTTTTACAATTTTAATTTAAAGTAATAAAAAAGCTCTATCATTTATTAAAGTTTGATTGCCTGTACGAAAAATCTGTAATGATTGATTGGCCAATAGAAAGTCTCAATTTAATTTCAAATTTTCTATTTTTACTTTGATTAATTTATTATCAAATACGCAAGAAATGCAACATTTTTTTGTTTTTCGATTTGTCTCGAAACATTTTCTTTTCGAACTTTTTTTTCAACTCATCATAAAAATAAAAGTTTTTATAATGCGTCATAACTTTCTTAACTGCGTCTAGCTTTAAGAAAAAATTGTGAATAAAAGAATAAGAAAATACAATAAAATATGAGCAAACTTTAACATATATATATATTCATATAAAAAAATTGAGTTTTGTTGCAATTATTAATGTGAACACACTAGCTTCTAGCTTATTTTGTGATAATAAACAAAAGCTAGGGTCTGAGCTAGTTGGCGCGTCATGTATGAATGAAAAGGTGTTGGGAAGAAAGTCTCTACTTTCTATGGTACTTTTTAGTATTCTAGTTAAAAAATCTTGTAGCAACTTTTTTTTATCTAACGTTTATATTTTAAAGATGAGTAAATAGTTATGATATTGTTAAAATGATGTCATGATATTTTTAAAGATAAACATTTTTGTTTTGAATATACTTTTATGCACGGATTATTCACAATATCAGATGAGAATTTGAAAGATTTAAATTAATTTTCAAGATATTATAAAAACTCAAAATTTGCATTATGTCCATAAGAATCAAAATTAAAAGATTAACAATATTGAATTTAAATATTAGTCAATAATTTTAAATATTTTTAATTAATATTTAAAATTCATATTGAATAGTTTTTTGCTCATATAAGAAATGCAATTTAAAAGTGCCAATATTTTACATTTTACTACAATATTTTACCACTCCCTTGAGAAATATTTTATCTTTACCAAGACCCCATTCCTCCTCTTTGATAATAATATTTTCAAAAGGAAAAATTCGACTTTGCTTAGTTAATATTTCTTTTACCACGGTTAAAAATTCGACTTCGCTTAGTTAATATTTTTAAAAAGTTAATAAGGTGTAATTGTTTAATAATTTGTTTTCGAAAAACAATCGAAATCGAAAATTTTCGATTTATATAATGGCATAGTTATGTTAATTATTACGTTTTTTTAGCAGAATATTAAATGTAACTTACGTAACTTTTAAAACTTTTAATTTGATTAAATTTAGTTTTGACCGACATCCGTTCTTACAAATTTATGCCATGTTTGCATTACCTATTAATGCATTTTAATTTGCTTCATCGTTGTTAAATATTTCTTTATATTAGTTGCTATATATTTCTCTTAATTAAAATTTGAATTTTAACTTCCATTTTATTTAAACCTATTTTACATGAAGGTCTAATTTAGAATAGATTGTGGTTCTTGGACAAACCTCCTGAACGTGAAAACTTTCACACTTTCATAGCACCCAAATAAATTTATTACAGGCAATATTTGTTAAAATCAAACATTATTTCTTTGCTAGTAATAACACTACATTATTGGTACTTAAAGGTCGTCGCTAAAAGCTCTTCATCACAAATAAAGCAACCTTGGCTATAACTTCTACTACTAATAAAAATATTGGTAATTTGTCACAAACACAACATATAAAAAAAGGTTGTTTAGAAGTTTTAAGACGGTTGTTTTTAATGTGCTTAAAAGTGGCTCCGTTCTTTAAATTTTAAAAAATAGCTTACTCTGGTAAGATCAAGGAGGTTTTGTTGATCTTTGTTTTTTATAAAGCTCGCTGATTCTTTGTGTTAATCTTGATTAGCAATTTCGATCATTTTAAATCAAAAATATGAATTTTGAATTAAACAAGCAAAAGCAAATATTGTTTCATTGATATTAACTTTATCGGTTATCATTGAAAATCGCAAACCTAATTTTTATTTTGATTTTGTTGCTATAGAATTCAGTCTATGATAAGTTTTTTTTTTAATGCCGCTATTAACAAATAAAATAGTATATTCTTGTAAAAATAGAGCTATTTAATTTCACAGATTATCTAAATACTAATCTGCTTTTAAGCGAGTCGTTTGCCAATTGATCAAAACATAGACATTAGCTGAAGATACCAATCAGGTTGTAGTCACAATTTTTGCGAAGACATTACTAAAAAATGATTCGTTTGAAACCTTTCATAGTCTTGATTTTTTTTCTTGCTGTAATTTCATACAATAGCAGAGTAATATGCCTGGCAAGCAAGCTTGTTCAACAAGGACCTAAAAACCAAAACCAAAATTCGTTAGTTGCATTGGTAAGAACTGTTCTAATTAAAATGCACAAGTTTTAAGACAAGTTGGAACAATTTTAACTTTGTTTTTACATGACATGTTACAAAAGCTGTTTTTACTACCTTTTTTTTTTTATTGAAAAAATATTAAAAGTGCTGACAAATGTTCTGTGTTTTAGCGTGCAAAAATAGTGGACTTCTGCAAAAAAAATCCAAACGCCTGTCCTTTAAATACGGACTCGATAACAGAAAGATAACAAGGTTGACGAATGGCATGTTTACCTTGAAACCTTGAAATTGTTTGAAAGAAAAAGAAGAAGAAAAAGAAGAAATTATTTAATTTCATAAAAATGGTTAACTTGTTTGTAAAAACAGAAGAAATTTTATTAAAAACGAAAACCCTCGATACTTTACATAAGACAATAGAGTTTTAGGCTGTAAATAATGTAGAAATTTATATAAACATTTATAAATATTTTTACATCTTTAAATTTAATGATACGCTCAGCATTTAATTTTCAGTGTAAATATAAAAATATTTTATCAATAAACATTCCATTTTCATTTTATAAAAATTATAACTTGATGAAGAAAAAAAACAAAAAAATGCTGAAAGCAAAATATTTTTACAAAATTTTGTATGTTCCGAGGAAAAAAAGTTCTATAGAAATTTATATAAACTTTTGAAACTCTATAGAAATTTTATAGAATTTTTTTGAATTTTTATAGAGATTCTGTTAATTTTTTTTCTACTTTTTTTTTTTTTTTTTATAGAAAAAAAGGTTTTATAGCAATTTCTATAAAAATTAATAGATATTCTATAGAAACTCGATTGAGTTACAATAGGCCATATGTTTCAAAAGTTTATAGAAAATTCTATGGAACTTTTATTCCTGGGCTTCCATTACTAATATCACTCACTCGTAACCTCCAACTTTGCTGTAGGGTGTGTGAATTTTTACTAAGCTTTTTATTACAATGTTTATTGTTGTGTTTCAGCGACTTAAATTACGCTAGTAATTCGTGGCATAAAAAATAGAAGAAAAAAAACACAGTAATACCTAGCGGCGGAGCTAACTGGTAAAGCTTGAAACTGAGCAAGTTTGGTGCATTGAAAAACATGGCATCATAAAAGCTAAATTGTGTTTTAATTATAACTTTACCATCTTTAGGACATATTTTTAACAGTACTCGTGCTTATTGGTTCTGCTCCAATTTGACTTCACTTTTCAATTTATCAAATTTTTCTAAATATTTATTTCATATAAAATTTAAGAAAACTTATCATTTTGAAATTAAAATTTGGTAATTTTGCGTGAGATGGACGTTATCATTCATCATCTTACAATGCCTTTCAAACACATGCAATATGTTTTTCTAAATTCAGCCTTTTAACATACTTTTTCAAAATTATTTTTTTATTAAATATCTAGCTTAAAGTTTTTTGCTTTGAACTAATATTATAATGATTTTAAGTTAACGTTATTTTAAAGAAAAGAAAAAATGAATAAACTAATTATCATAGCATGTGTTCACAAGAGCGTGAAAGCGCGTGAAAGCGCGTGAAAACTTATCAATAATTTGTACATTTTCTTTTATTTTTAGCCTTGTATTTTTATAAAAATCTTACCCTTTTATTTTGTAACAAAATCAAAATTCGTATTTATATCATGCTAATGCATGCGTATATCTCGCTGATTACATTATCGCGCGATGTTTCCGTTTTAAACGTAGATGGCTAATGAAGATATTCTTAAAAAGTTAATTCTATATATATTTTCTATGCATTTAGTTTGTGGGAAAGTATTTATAAATAGAATATCGTTTTAAGCAAATCTAATGATCTCGTAAATTGATTGTCGCATGAGGAATTTAGATACAAATCAAATAGTATGTACACAAATAGGATGTTTTGATCTAAATATCAACAAATAGGATGTTTTCACTATCAAAAAGTTATTTTGTATGAAAAAATCTAAATTGTAGCAAAAAAATCACATGAATGAACTCACAGTAAGTGTCAAAATGCAAAACAAACAAAATAAAACTTTAAATGCGCGCAGAAGATTCTTATTGAAAAAACGTTGTTTACAAGTTTGCGTATGGAACATACATACATACATACATACATACATACATACATACATACATACATACATACATACATACATACATACATACATACATACATACATACATACATACATACATACATACATACATACATACACACATACATACATAAATACATACATACATACATACATACATACATACATACATACATACATACATACATACATACATACATACATACATACATACATACATACATACATACATACATACATACATACATACATACATACATACATACATGCATACATACATATATGCATACATACATAAATACATACGTACATATATACATACATACATACATACATACATACATACATACATACATACATACATACATACATACATACATACATACATAAATACATACATACATACATACATACATACATACATTCATACATACATACATACATACATACATACATAGATACATACATACATACATACATGCATACATACATACAAACATACATACATACATACATACATACATAAATACATACATACATACATACATGCATGCATACAAACATACATACATACGTACATATGAGTTAACCTATACATGGTTAAGAAAAAGAGGCAGATAAAAGTTAGATAAAGAAGGGGTAGAAGGTAGAGGGAAAAATCATTGTGCGCCTTATGAGAGTGGCAAATAACTTTTTTTTTTTTTAGGTACCTCTTGAAGTCCTTACAGTTTTATCACAAAGTACCGCAAAATAGCATTCAATAGAAAGTTCATGCCTTTCTAATACGAATAATAATAACGTATACTTTGTTTCAAGTGCAAATTGGATCAATAAATTAATAAAGGGGATAAAAATAAATTGGATCAATAAATTTTGTAATCTCACATGTTGTAGTTTTGTATAAGTAAAAAGTAGTTGTCACTTTGTAACAATAAAATAAATATTTGATTAATGTAAATTTAAAAAAAAAAATAATAATACAAATAAACGTCTTTACAATAAAGAGTAAGGCAAAACGGAGCAACATGGCTAATGGGGCAAGAGGGCTTTTTATATAAAAACTCAACATAAAAACATAAAAACAGGTGGAGATGAAACTGTATCTACATCTTGTATTTTAAAACGTAAATGGTTTTTTGAATTTTTATAATCGCAATTTTATACGCATCAGTTTACTTTATACGCTTAAAAAAAATACCTAGGTTTTGGTTATTTATCATAATAACATATATTTACTGTAACAACAATAACTTATTATTTTGCAATAACTAAGGGCTTCCAAATCATTCGCCATCTTCCCATAACTTTAAAATGCATTTTAAAAAATCATCAATTGTTAATAAAATTTTTTGAGCGCTTTTATTTCAAGTTTTTACGAAGATGTTTTTTAAAAACCTTGTTTTGTTTTTTTTAACCTTTGTTTATTTTTCATTTACAGAAGCTATAGTTATTAAAAATTTTATGATAAAACTTTTGTAGAGTTTTTAGAAGTTTTATCATAAAGTTGTTATTTTTTTTTCATAATATTTATAAGCAAGTAAGAATTAAAGTTTTTGACGTTAATTATTATAATTAATTATTTTACTATTTCTAAAATCTTTCCAGTGATTGGATAGTTAGCATTATTCATAAAATAATTTTAAAAATTTTTATAAAAATCTATTTAAAAAAAATCGTAGATATTTTTTTTTTTACTCATTTATTTTTAGGACTTTTTTTTTTTTTTGTTGTTGATATCTTTGTTATAATTTCATTTAAAATACGATTATAAATAAAAACACTACCATAGATTTGACACTAGTAGAGCAGTTAACTAATAGCTGCATAAAAAAGATTGCTTCAAAAAGTATAACTTACTAGAGTACAAGGACTATTAGCTGATCGACGGGAGTTGACAAGACTTTCCAAAAGTCTTGTCAAACCTTGTTTATCTTGAAATGTTTACAATAAAGTAAAGCTGCAAAAATTTGTCTTAATAGGTTTTTAATTTTTTCAACACTATTTTTTGGTCAAGTAGCCTCGTTAGAATTGAAATGTTATTATTTCAAATGCCAACACCTCTTAAACGCAAACGCTTGTGATAAATTTGTACACCCTTACTGACGCTTAACTTGGTGCACAGCTTGACGCAAATTGACGCAAATTTAAATCTTTGATCCACTAGCATTAACATACTTGTTAATAAACACAATAAAAAAGCATACGTATTA